AATAAATTTTAACATTTTAATAGGTGAATTGAGTCACAGGTGAATTGAATTTTTCGGAGTAACAAAGGAGGATAAAACAAGAGTAGTGCAGTTGTTTCTGTTGTTGTTTTGTCACCGTCATCAAAGGCTAATAAAGATTAACTAACAGAGTAGCCCAGTATGTTGTCTGATCTTTTGAAATGGTATGTCAGTTTCATATTAGGCTTTATTCACTGTAGCAGCCAAGACCAGACGAGTGGTATAGAATTCCTTCATGAAGCTGAAGTTTAGAAATTGGAGAAACGTAAAAATTGTATAAAATAACACATCACTTCAGGATAAATCCCCCTAGTATTTGCTGGCTTAATGAAAAAAAAAACTAGAGGCATCGTAGAAGAGTGGTAATGATGATCTCCTGCATTAGCAGACTCGGCGCCGAGGAGATACTTGATCGAATCGAAATAGCAACAATCATCAAAGCAGCAGTCGCTGCTGGCAGACTGTAACCACCCGTTGCAGATGAAGTTCATGAAAGCATCCGGTAACTCGAAGTATTCATAGTGCTGCTTCCTCCCATACACAACTCTGTTGGAGATGAATCCCACCATTTTCGCCAGGGTTCTTTGGCAGTCAGATGAAGAGACAAAATTTTTTGTAAATAGTTTATTCACCAGGCACTGAGAATAATCATATACTGTAGTGTGTAGAAATATTTTTGCGTGATTTTCTGTACCTTAATTGATTGATAACTGGAAAATCATACAGTGGGATCGACAAAAAATATACATGCAAAAAAGAACAATAAACCAGAAAATCATCTTTTCCAGCTTTTGATACCGGATTGAAGCGGCGTATGCACCGTCCCTTTGCTTCCACTGGATATTTCAGCAGGCCATGGCTCCATGGTATTTGAGCTGGCAGTGCATGGGTGCAAAACCGCATCATTAGACAGGGGTGAACAAGGGCCTGTTCGGACACTTGTAAATATGCAACGATCCGTAGGCATATTTATGCAGAAAAATAAAACCCGATCTAATTCTTGATACCGCCGCTAAGATATATAATACTTTTCAGTTTTTGATACCTGTTACTATTAGCAAGGGTAAGCAAAGTTTACGCCGCTTCAATCCGGTGTCAAAAACTGAAAAGGATAATTTTACTCTGTATATAAGCCTTATCATCGTCTGCCTTTGAGTCGCTTTCTTGTTCAGAAAGCGGCGGCAGTGTGAAGGAACTACCGCTTGTTGGTCGTGAAAGATTTTTGTTGCTTTTTGCTGTTGTAGCAGTTGAAAAGTCAGCGAGACAAGCTGAAGCAGTACCATAGGCGTATTGAGCTAAATTTGGACAAAGAACGCCAGGCGGCTGTGCAGCTGTTGAAAAATGGCAAGAAGGAGTAAGCTCGGTTTTAATTCTGCAGTTTTGTTTGTTTTTGACCTCTTAGTTTATTGTAAATATGAGAACTGATATGTTGCTGTTAAATAACGAGCTTTACCGGATCAACACAAAATACGGTGTCTTTTAATATCTTTTTAAAATTGAAGGTACAATTCGATGATCTTCTTGTCTCACATGAGTCATCATTCGCTCGAATAGTCGGTATTTTGTGTATTAAACATGTTGAACATACTGAATTACTTCACATGCAGATTGACGACCTCTAACTTAGTCGTTCCCTTATGTGAATCCTGTACAGTTTTCGAAGGCAGTAATTATGGAGGCTGACAAATAATGAGTCTTAAACATGCATTATGTCGGAAGTATTCGTCTAAAGCAGAAAGTAGTCAATTCATTGTGCTAATAATATCCATGGATCCAATCCAACCCTTAACATTCGATGTACAGCGATAGCGTTGTGGCACGTTCGTTTACGATGATTATTAGGAATAACTGCATGCTATTCAGACACATAGCCAAAGCTTTACATTGAAGCTAGTTTCCATTTTTCCTAATCGACAGTTCCGAAGGCATAAACGTTTCAAAATTTGCACAACGTCGACGATTCATTGCTTGCTTTTATGACCTCGTACGCTTCCGTATTTTACTTGTACTTACGTAACTTTGGTGGTCACATGTACATGTTGCGTATTTCAGTATTACAGTCAACTGAAGAAATTGAACGTCCGTCATATTTTATTATTTCCATCCTTGTTCTTCTTCTTCTCATTTGACTTATGATTAATTTGTACTTGTTTTGCACCATTTACTCCTGCTGATCTTCATTCTACTCCTTTTTACACTCTTTTTTCCTTTCTTTCTGCTTTCCAGTGTTTACCTCCGTGGAATTAATTACCGTAGGATTTGAGGCATGCATCTTGCTTTTACAAAATCTGCTTTAGGCGCGCGCTTTTACTGCTTCGTAGAAAACGGTACTTGGAACAACTTCAGGAACGGTCGTTGCAGCAACTGGCAAACACCGAAAGAATGGTAATTTTGTTATATTATGATTAGCCTGGGTTTGTTCTCAGTGTCAGAGAGTTGTTCAGATTCACGATATCGAGTTTACACAAGTTGAAATTTCCGTTTTGGAAGGACTCAAAGTCGGCAACGCCTGTTTGGCTAAAATGCATGAGGTGAGAGGGTTTGTGGATATAGTGATATCGAGTCCGCGTCATATATAATCAGTCATCGAGTGGTTTAGATCCTGTCTCTGGACGATGTTGAGAAGATAATGAGCGAGACTGCAGAAGCGGTTGAGTATCAGAGGGTTGGCGTTGCCAGCTGTTAACGGTTATAGTTTTGTTGAGTATGTATTGTAGGAAATCGACGCTGCCATTGCTGGAGGTCTTAGCGAAACGGACGAAGCTGATCTACAAATGGAACTGGAACAAATGTGCAAGGTATAAATTTGTATTGATGGACTTTTCCGATACCCGTGGTAGAGAATATTTTTTTCTGGCTAGAAAAAACGCGTAGCTTGTCGTGTTCTTGTCTTGATAAACGCCGATGATGGTGTTTATTCCATCTGTTTTGGCATGAAATCAGAGTCCTATTTTTACACTTGCCTGCCTAAAAGCCACATGGGATATTCTGTCATCGAAACCACTGTCTGTTTTTGGGTTCACACAGACTGCTACAGTTAGCATAGCTGTTGAGATTTTTTACTTTTCACTAACCCGCACTTTTCATTACCCCCTTAGATTTTTGGCTAGCAGCTTTATTGTAACTTAACAGCATAATCTTTCCATCGATTTAAACTTAATATTCTGATGTTACTGTACAACCATGAGAATAAATAGGTCCTGGAGCACAACTAATGAGAAAAAGCGTACATTTCGCGAGGAGTCTCGGCGAGATGCATCATTGCAGGCAAATGCGAAAGTACTGAGGAGCAATGATAATTCTAATTGGGCTTTTTAGACTCCTAATAGCAAGATGGCAGTGTTTCGCTGAATTCCACTTATTTTTAAGGTTTAAAAATACGGTCCAGTAGGTGGCTTTTTATAGCTTCATTTTGAATTAAGTTTACTCCTTGTGAAATTTTCGTCTCCAGTAGTAAAGCCAAAACGTATACGATATTGTTGCACCATCAAGCGGCAAAAGTGAAATATTTCGAAAACGAAACAGCAACTGAGTAGATACGAATACTTGATGAAAAATAAAACCAGGATAAAATTTTTGCACTCTAAGCATATCAAGAGAATGTTTCCGCTTTCTGGCGTCTGGCACTTTGACGATTCGCGCTAGAGACGGGATTATGGCCCTGTGGTAAAATTTATAAATGCTAATTGAATGCCATGCATATATAAATACATTTAGATATGCATGGATATATGCCTACGTATTCAGATATATTCATTCATTAATACATACATACGTACATACATACATACATACATACTTTCATCACATACGTGCATACAACATGCGCAGTTGAATTTTCGACATTCTTCTTAACAGTTTGTCACGCGGTCGAAGATGCTGTAACTCATTCTAAGATTATCGGTTATTGTTTGTTCATCTATATGTAAAACTTGATGGCCACGAAGGAAAGGATACATCTGAAGAATGGTCTTAGTGGTTTTCCAAGGACCTTGAAGTCAAGGGAAAGTGCCAGTGAAAGTTGATAGAAACTAATAACTTTTTATGAAGCAGACGCAGAAATCAATTATTCAGTAGCTTTGAATATTCAAAGGTGTCCAGAGTTTTGGAGCATACAATGAAGCCCTGTAGCTTTTTTTTGAATATTTGTTTTCGGTAGTCTTCTGGTAGGAATCAGAAGTGGGATAACATCTTGATACCTTTGATCGGTGAATGGAATATTTCTTTTTGGGTGAATAATTGACTCGATTGTATTTGTTAATAGGAGAATGTTAGTGTTTTTTACGTTAACAGCAACATGAATTGCACCTGCTGTTGACTGACACGTAGAATGAGCAGATTTCCTGTGGGCAAATTGAAGAGCGAATTGCAGTCCACGTGCTCTCATCAATCAGTTTGGCTGTACTTCTCATGTAGTCTGGTAGGATCACAGCTAACCACCATGTTGCCCCTGCTGTGCGTTAACAATCCAGTTA